AAAAGATCTATTAATAGAGACTTGACTAGGAGCCCTAAAAAGACAAATCGCCGATTATTAGTTGAAAATGACGTCAATATTTCAACCAGAACTTTACAGAGATTTTCAAAAAGAGAGGGCTATTCTATTAATCTTGCAAAGAAAAAATCAATTTTAAACAAAGAAAAAGCTCAAAATAGATTAAAATACGCTAAAGATATGCTGGAAAATCTATCTAATATTAGATTAGATAGGATAATATTTTCAGATGAGTCAGCAATCCAAAGAGGCCGAGGATATAGAGGAGAATATGTAAGAAAACGCCAAAATAAGCGCCAAGGTCGAGAACAAGTTTGTACAGCCAATAGATGTAAGTTAAAAAAAATCCTAATAGGCTAAAAGTATCTATTTTTAGTCTAGTATTTTATTAATATTTCAATCGATTTTTAGCTTGATTACTAATAGAGTTATAGCAAGAGATATTACTATCCAAGTTTGGGGAGCAATTTGGATAGGTGGTAGATCTGATCTAGTAGTAATTCGGGCTCCAAATTCTTCTCCAAACTTCAATAATCACCAATATATCCGTAAGGTTTTAATACCTTAAGTAAAGCCTAATATAAAACCAGGTAAGTAATATATATATTCTTATATCTAAGAATTAATCTAGCACACCTAATTAAAGAGCTATAAATCCCAAATTCGGATATATTATAGATATAACTAACTACTATCTAGGCTGGAAGTTTCAGCAGGATAACTTCAGAATGCATACTACTGAAAACGTTTTCAGCTAGTTTAAAAGAAATTCAATTGAAGTCTTCCCTCATCCACCTTACAGTCCAGATCTTAATCCAATAGAAAATGTGTGGAGTTTACTTAAAAACCATTTATCTAAAAGATCTAGATCTTTTTTAGGCTTAGGTAATAACCAGAAGAGTATAGCGGCTTTTACTAGGGCTATTTTTGAAGAGTGGCAAGCTATTCCACAACAGGATATAGATAATTGTATTTTATCTCTACCTAGGCGTTGGCAAGCTGCAGTAGAAGCTAAGAGCTGGTACACTAAATATCAGCTTCTATTCTTAGCGAGAAATAAATATACTCTAAGAAATCAGACTCTTCTATATATCACGTGATCTAACTAGTAAAGGTATACTATAACAGTCAGAGCTTAGAGATCAAAGATAGATCTAGAATACATATTAGACTTGGACCTTTTTATATAAAAACAATAGAGTAATCTAGATATTTAGTTTAGATTTATTCAAGCTTCTAGTTTGGGGATTTTTGTTCGCTCAGGGCTGCTGACTAAGCAGGAGGTGGGTTCACTATGCCAAACTAGGAGATCTTGGCTTTCTAGATCTGCAATCTGTTTATTTTTAGCTATTTTTTTCCAGCTATATATCAAAGTTTTAAAATAACAACTTTTTGAGTGACGTTTTTTTCGTGTCACCCCTCTGTAGTAAATACAATTGCGTACAAAGACTAAAATAGCATTACTATACGCGCGCTTTAATAGCAAAAAGTAGCCTATATTAAGGGGCTATAAGAGGTGCAATAAGTGGGGAGGTATATAGAGAAGGATTATCTTTATCTTTTTATAGAGATCTTAGAAATCCACTAAGTAGTAGCTTTTATAGCTATTAATAATAAGTAGCTTATACGTCTCTATAGGCCGCGCATAGGAATTAAAGTAATAAAGCTAGTTAAGCGCTGAATTATGATTTATCTAGCTAGTAGGACTAACTTAGATTACCTAGTCACGTGGCAAATCCTCTATAAACTAGGTAGAAATTAAAACCTTATTAGTAAAGATAAAAAACGCCAAGATACGCATGCTTATTGCGCTAACGCTTTATATTAGCATAACCTACTTATAATTACTTAGCTAGATCTTCTTGATTCTTCTTAGTTTATCTAAGCCTATAATAACTAACTATAATAAGATCTTACTTATAATGAAGCTAGTTTTATTAAAGTTATAGATATCTTTGTCTATAATACTATACTTTGCTTTTATATTCTAAACTAGCTTAAACTAGCCCTTAATAAGCGCTAGGTCTTTATAGAGAGCTTGCTAGTAATTATATAGACAGCTCTAGCGCGTACGTAGCTTAGGATTGCGCTAGACAAACCTATTAACCTAGTTCTTACCTACCTCCTTCCCGCCACGCTCTTAGAGTAGTCTATTAGCTATATCTCGCACGTTGTCTTTCTTATAGGGTAGTCCTCGCTTAGCCTTAACTATTACACGCATAGTAATAGCCTCCTTTTCTAGTTTTATTAGGCGCCTTGCTAGTAGCTTCTGATCGCTTTAAGGGCGCTATCTAGCTTATTAACGCTAGATTATTATCTATAGGACGCTATAGGTAGTAGTAGCGCGTTATTTACTCTAAAATTATTTAGAATTAAAATTAGTAATAGTAAGAAATAGATCTACTTTAGTATAAGTTTTTAACGCGTTATGTTATTAAGATATTACGCGTTATTGTTGCAAAGGTGGGATATTATAGGGAAGTGGCCTACATACTAGGGTGGCCCACTTACTAGTGAAACACGTTATATATAGTTATATAACGTGGTTCACAAGCGAGTCGCTCACCCAAGCGAGTCGCTCACGCCCCACTAGCGCGTCGACGTCGAGACGTTATCACGCACTTTTATCACAGTTAATAAACTATTACAATATACTAAATTAATTATTAGAATGGCTGCTATCACTTGCACTATCTATATCAACTGCGCAGGTATGAGCGTTATGTCTAGTCTGTTTACAACGCCCGCACCGCCTCTCTCCTCGCACCCTCTTCGACGCACTCTCACTGTCGCCACGACTACTACCCGCCTGTTCAGCTAATACTTCTTGTACCTTGCCTACAGTAAGAGTCTCTTCTGTCCGTACGTATCGCCGCTTGCGGCTTTTACGCTTGTTTGATTCGTCTAGAGCCTCTTAAAGGGTGGTTATTTTCTCTGTCAAAAGTACTATCTTATGTGCCATCTGCTAAGCCCCCTTACTTAACTGCGCGATCTGCTTAGTAAGTGAATTAGCAGAAGACCTACAGCGCTTTCTCACGCT